AAAAAAAAAAAAAAGAATTTATTGAGCATCGTGGCTCACACCTATGTCCTAGCACTGGGGAAGCTAAGGCAGCATTATTGAGAGTTGGAACCAGCCTGGGTTACATAGGGAGTTCAAGGGCAGCCTGAACTATATAGGGAGGCCCTGTCTCAAAACAAAAGCAAATAGAGCAAAAACAAAGAAGAAGCAATCTATTTAGAATAAAACAAAAGCAGCTCAACTGTGCACATACTTTTGAGTGACAGCTACTTTTAAACTGCTTGAGCCAGGAAAAGGGATTTTCTTTTCCAGAAATTTTGTATATACAGCACAGAGGTCATTTTATACCACATAAAACACTGGAATTGGGAGCACAATAACAGATACATAATAACATCAAGCTGCTATTTCAATAAAATGCACACATACTAAACAGGTTAGCTTTTGTCCATCAGGGGTCCATGTAAACTTCACATAAGCCACCATTTCTGTTCAAAAAGGTTCATTAGTGCTTTGAATTTCATATCTTTCTCTGAAGTTTACCAGTTTTGCTTATGAGGGGGCTTGTTCAGTACAAATGTTTACAATTTTCTTTTTTTTTTTTTTGTGGTACTGGGGATTGAACTCAGGACCCTGCACTTGCCAGGTCAGCGCTTATTCTACTGAGCTATCTTCCTGGCCCCCAAATGTTTACAATATTAAAAAATATATGTATATAGTTCCCTTATACATTGTTCTTTCTTTCTTTCTTTCTTTCTTTCTTTCTTTCTTTCTTTCTTTCTTTCTTGATAGGGTCTCACTGTGCAGTTCAGGCTGGCTTTGAGCTCACCTTATAGCCCAAGCTGGTCTCAAACTCAAAATACCTTTTTTTTTTGGCGTTACTGGGGATTGAACTCAGGCCCTTGTGCTTGCCAAGGAAGCGCTTATCCACTGAACCATCTCCCTGGCCCCTGGTCTCAAACTCAAAAGGATACTCCTGCCTCAACCTCCCGAGTGCTGGGATTAAGGGTCAAGATACAAAGTTATTTTAAAATCTACCTTCATCTATGTTACATCCTGGGTTTAGTAGTTTAGTGAGAAAAAGTTTAAAAATAAAAAAGTCTGTGGATACAGATCAATGAGAAGGCCTTGGATCACACACACACACACACACACATGCCTCCTTTTTGGTATCAGCACCTTGCACTTGCCAGGAAGGCGTTTGTGCCACTGAGCTATAGTCCAGGCTCAAGGCCATGGATTCAATTCCTAGCACAAAAGTTGGGTGTGGTGGCACACACCTGTAATCTCAGCATTCCTGAAGCTGAGGCTGGAGTTTCAAGGCCAGCCTGGGCTACATAGCGAGCTCAAGGCCAGCCTGACTAAATTGCCAGAACCTATCTAAAAAAAAAAAAAAGCAGCAGCAAAAGAAATTTCTAGTACAAAAATTAAAACAACACAAATGACTAATCAGTATTAATGGTCCATGAGAAGAGAATAAATGCCATTCACTTTGGTGATATATTAGGCATATTAGTAATGTTTGCGCAGTATTATTCATGCAAATATTATTAGCCTGAGTCAGGGGAAGTAACTAAACCTAGTATTATACTCAGAGCAGAGCTCTACCTCTAATTCCAGATGTGTAGGGGGTTGAGACTCCAGAGACACGCCCCTATGCAGCTCAAGGAACCAATCAGGACTCGGAAAGCGGGGGCCTGGGAGAGACAACAGCACTATCCAATGGGCCTTCAGCGGGGAACATCGTTGGCCAATGGGCGCGCCCCTCGGCGAAGGTCGGAAGCGGGGAGGCGGCTGGGGCAGTTGTTCAGTGCGGGGGCTGACTGAGGAGGTTCGGTGTCTGAGGCCAGCTAGGCGACTCAGTGTTCCCCTTGTCGTTCCAGGTGAGGGGCGGCGGCGGCCCGCGCTCGGGCTGCCCCCGCGGCGTCCGCTCCGGGAGGTGGCGGGCGCTTGAGGGAGGGTGCGCGGGCCGGGGGCGGCTAGTGTGAGGAGATGCCAGGGCCGCGGCGTGAGTCGGGCGGCGCGAGGCCGCGCTTTCTCCTCAGGGAACCGGGGCTGTGGCGGCCGCCGGCGACGCCGCCTCTGTCGCAGCCCGGGCTGGGGGCGCTGGGCAGCCGGCGGCGTCTTCCTAAGCGCGGGGCGGAGCCCGGCCCGACGAAGGCCTGGGCTCCGAGCCCGAGCCTCGAGCTGCGGCGTGGGGGTCGCGGGCGGCCTGGTGCTGTTCTCGGCCGGGGGACCCGGGTTCGAGTCTCCACCGAGACGTGCTGGTGCGGCGGTGGCTCCTCGGCACTTCCGCCTTCGCTGCTCTGGAATGGGGACGATGACTTTCGCCGCCTGGAAGTAGGGTCAGGAACTGACAAGGCTGCAGGTGTAAAGATTTAGCGGTTGCCTTGTGAAGCGGCTGCCAGCACCTCGGGTCCTCACTCTGCGCTTGGGTGCGGGCCTTGCCTCTGCCAAAGCCCTGTCAAGCTTTCTCCCATTCACTCGCCGCCTTGGCCCTTGCAGGTGTTGTCAGTCGACTGCCTCAGGGGTCAGATCCCCTCGGGGGTTCAATCACACGGACTGGAATTAATTCCCAGAGGTCTGACTCTCGTTCATCCCCATTTCTCTAGCAGCTAGAAAGCTGGGCCGTCCCCTTATTTTAAGGACTCCTCTAGTTTTATTTTTTAGTCATTATGCACTAATTTTTATTTTGAGACAGGGCTTCCAGTTGTGGGTCAGGCTGGCCTCAGACACCTGGGGATACTCCTGCCTCAGCCTCCCTGGTGTATTGTGCACCACTACACCTGGCTTTTTTAGTTTTAGCAGTACGTATTTGCAGTACATAATAATTCCATTTCACATGGGGAGTTGTACATGTACATAACACATCTTGATTCTTTTTTTAAATCCCCTTCCTCTCCCCAGCTTCCAGTCTTCCTCCTTCTCTTGGTCTCCTTCCCTTTTGCCAAAGGCCTATCTCCTTGTTTCCTATCTGTCTACATTGTTTTTGTTTTTTTTAAGAGTCTCCGCAGGTAGTTCACACTGGTCTTGAACTTGTGGCAATCCCCTTGCCTCTGCTGCCTGAGGTCTGGGATTATAGACTTGTGCCGCCTAAAATATCTCCATTTTACTTATTGTATTTTGGGTTTTGAGTTTTAAAAATTCTTTTTTTTTTTCAAAATTTATTTATTTATTTATTTATTTATTTTTTTTTTATTGTGTGTGTGTGTGTGTGTGTGTGGCCAGCTCAGCACACCAGGGGGCGGGGCTGGCTGGCATGTGGTGCTGGGGGATTGAACCGCGGTCGCTGCATTTTTGCTTAGCTTGTTCTAAGTAGGTGCTTTAGACCACTGAGCCATCTCACCAGCCCCTAAAAATTCTTTTATATATTTGGTACAGGGTCTTGTTACACAGCTTGCACTTGTAGTGATCCTTCTGTCTCAGCCTCCCCAGTGCTGGGATTATAGACGTGCACCACCAACCTCAGTTTTGGTGGCTGGCATTGCGCATCCAGGGTCCAAGGTTCCGAGGCCAGCACAGCATGTAGTACAGGTGATCAAACCCGAGTCCTTGTGCTTGCCAAGCAGGTTGCTTAGATGGCTAAGCTATCTCCCCACCCTATATTTTGGGTTTTAAACTTAGTTCACTTAAGTTATACCCATTTTCCTACACGTGAAGTTTATACTACTGTATCGCAGAGTTCCATTGTGTATAAATACCACATTATGTATTTAAATATCTTATATCTGCTCTTGCCTTAAGCTTTGGATGCTCTTGCCAGCCAAAGAAAATGCTCCTCTCAGAGGCTTCTGGAAGCTGAGGCAAGCTGCTCCGGAGAGTTACAGCTTGGAGAGGCAGTGGGTGACTATGGTGGGGGACACTCAGTTCCCCTAACATTATTATTTTATTATTGTTATTTTGAGACAGGATCTCATTTTGTAGTTCAGGCTGGCTTTGCACCTACTGCATAGTCCAGGTTGGCCTTGAACTCATGACAGTCCTGCCTCAGCCTCCCAAGTGCTGGGCTTACAGGTGTGCACCTTCTCACACTGCTCAGTCCTCACATTGTTATCCAGAGCACCTGGGGAGGTAGGCTGTAATTTCTGGGAAGAAGTATTCCCTTGAACTTGCAGTCATCAGTGAAGGGAGGAGAGCTATAGAGCTGGCCCTTCGTAGTCATGGCTGTGAAGAACCAGCTGCCCTTTCTGGAGATGTGCACAACCCTGAGCTCCACTAGGAGAGTTAGGAGACAGTTGCCCATGTGCCATGTGGATGTTGGGAACACCTGGAGGTGGAAGCCCATGCTGGGTTGCAGTATGGCTACAGCCGCTGACGTCTAGCAGTTGATTGCCAGTGCTGCTCTGGACAGCTGTCTCCTTGGGCTTTGGGGCCACAATCAGGTGCACCCAGGAACAGTCCACTATGTTGGCCTTGTGGCTCCAGTGTGCTGAATGGGGGTCAGTGTGTCTGGGGAAACCAGGTCAAGCTGCACCTGTGATGGCTTGCTAATGACCTCTGATGTAGAGGTCTGGACTGGACTGAACGTGTGGCTGAAGGAGGAGCCAGAGGGGAGAAAAGAGTCAGGGTATCTGGGTACAGATGCTGCAAGAGCTGCAGGAGCGGTGCGCACCTTCCTGTGCCTCTTACCTTAGAGTTGGCTGCTTGGTGGCATGCAGTAGAGCAAGCACACCTGTCATAAATCAGTCTGCCCTGAGAGTAGTATCTAGATCCTCCTGCCTTCAGAAAACAGGGTTTGTTTTCATAGATGGGGCTTTCTATTCCTAGTAGACATTTACTGTGGCAGTGGGTATTTTGAATCACGGCAGTCCCTAGTTATAAACCCTTCAGAAATTTCTCATTGAGCTTGGAATATAATCCATTCCTTTCCTACATGATATGGTCTTTTCAGATCATTCTTTGTTTTGTCTTTGGCCATCCTGGGGCAGACCTTTACACAGAACTACATCCCTAACCCCCTTTTTTATTTTGTAAAATTTCCCTGACTGCATTTGAACTTACAGTCCTCCTGCCTCTGTTTTCTGTAGTGCTGGAATTATAGGAATAGGTCACTAAGCTAGGCTTCCCTTTTTCATAATGCTACTTTCACTTTTTCTTTGAACTCCTTAGGTCTTTTTGTTCTTTCCAGTTATTATGTGGGGTTTTCCACTCCATCCCCCACCCTTGTCTTTGCCTGGCTGGCTCTTTGTACTTGAGGTCTTAGTTTAAATGTCATCTTGGAATACTTCCCTCACCATGCTTACATTGTCCATTCTCCATCCTTGTTTGTCTTTTCCTTAAAAAACTCACCTTAGATTTTATTTGTCTTTTACTTATTTTTCTTAGCTATTTATTTCTGTTTTGTCAGGCACTATATTCTTTAATTTATAATAGTCTTACAGAACTAATCTGTTGAGTGGATAAATGAATACATTTTGAAATGTGGTAGTGGGTTTGATAATGTCCAGACCATTGTAGAGTCTTCTTATGGAACAGTATTTAAGACCATTTTTTAAATAACATAAGCTTTGGTAGTAAGGTTGCCAGAAATTTGCTTTCTATGTGGATATCTTGCTAACAAAGAAGGAAAAAAATTATAGTGAAGATACCTGGTAGCTACCATCTCAGCTAACCAGAGTTAACATCACTGGTAATAATGACTGTTGACATTGTATGCCTTCTAATATAATACACTAGGATGGACACAGTGCCATTTGTGTGGTATACTTGCCCAAAATGTATAACCTGAATCTAATCCCGAGAAAACAGACAAACCCAAATTGAGACTTTCTAAAAATAACTAGCCAGTAGCTAGTAACTATTAGTAACTGCAAGTAGTGAGTAACCAGTAGTTAAGCTGATCAAGTCATGAAAGACAAACTTTGAACAGGCATCCCAGGTCACAAAAATTGAGAAATAATGGATGCTGGTCCAGGAAAAAAAGGGCATTCGTGGGATGATTGTTGAAATTTGAATGAGATCTGTAGAATAATGACTATATTAATGTTAATCTCTCATATCAGAATTTTCTAATGATCATTTATGGTGTTAACTTTTGGAGTATTGGGTGAAGGATATATGGGAATTTTTTTGTTGTTGTTCTTTTTTTTTTTTTTTTTTTTTTGGCGGAACCAGGGATTGAACTCAGGCCCTTGCGCTTGCCAGGGAAGCGCTTATTCCACCGAGCCATCTCCCCAGCCCAATCTATAGCAATCAAGGAAGCGCTTACTCCACCGAGCCATCTCCCCAGCTCCCTTTGTTGTTGTTCTGTTGGAACTATTTTCCTATGTTTTATTTTTTATTTTTATTTTTATGTATTTAGTACAGGGTGTACAGAGTCTCACTACACAGGGACTTGTACTGATCTGCCGGTTTTCATCTTCCCAAGCACTGAGATTACAGGTGCACTCTACCACATACTCAGCCTCAGTCCTGTGTCAATGTACCGCAGGGGTGAGGCCGGCAGGATCTCTCAGTATGCCTCAGCAGGTGCTTTAATCCACTGAGCTATCTGACTGGCCCCTATTTTCTTATCTAAAATTATTTTAAGTTAAAAATTTAAAAAATAAGCTGATTGTGGTGATGTCCACTTGTAATTTCAGCCACTTGGGAGGCTGGAGTTGGAGAGTCACAAATTACAGGCCAGCTTGAGCAATTTAGTGAGACTGCCTCAGAAATAAAAAGTTCTGAGGATGTAGCTTAGTGTTGTCTGCATTCATTCGCTGGTGCTACAGAAAGAAAGAGGAGGGGAAGGAGAAGAGTACTGGGTAATAAAATGCTTTTCTGCACTATTTAGGTCACATAGGTTTTTATTTTGCATGTCATTTGTAAAGCAGAAATGAAACAGAAAGTTCATGCATCTTACTTTACAGTTTTCAGGAAGAGCTAAAGATGGCTGAATTTGTAGATGACCAGGATACTCAACTGTGTGACAACTGGTAAGTTTGTTTTTTTTTGTTTAATGGAGGGACTTTTTTATTTTGGGTACTGGGAATGAACTCAGGACCTTGTACTTCCCAGGCAGGTGCTTGTGCCACTGAGCTATATCCCCTTGCCCCCTATCTTGCTATGCAGTCCAGACTGGCCTTGAACTCACTGTGTAGCCCAGATTGGCTTCGAACTTACAGTGACCCTCCTGCCTCAGCTTCCCAAGTGCTGTGATTATAGGCATGTGCCACCATGCCCTGCAAGAGTTTAAGAAATATTATTGAAATGGGAACAAACTAGTTTCTGTAGGGCTATTTATTTTTTGGTAGGTTGAAATTGGAGCTGTATAATTTATTGTTCACGTAAATGACCTTAAAACTTTTTAACAAAAATTTTGGATAAATTGACAACTTTGGTAATTTAATAGGATGGTTGGCTTAGGTAGAAGGGAGAAGTGAATAGATTGATGGCATGAGCTGGGAGTCAGGGCTGTGGCTTCTGTCTTTAATTGATGACTTTTAATGCCAGCCAGTGTGATGCATACCTATAAGCCCAGCACTTTGGAGGCTAAAGCAGAAGGATCATGTGTTCCAGACCAGCCTGGACTACACAGACACTATATCAAAAAAACAACAACAACAACAAAAAAAATGATTGAGAGTATAGCTAAGAGTGATGGCCCGGAGTTCAACCCCCCCAGTTGAACCACTAAAAGAAAAAAAAAAAAAAAAAATTGGAAAACCCAACAGACTTGTAGTGAATTACTGTACTGCTTGGGAACCTTTTTTTTTTTTAGAACACAGGACATTGTACATGCTAGACAAGTGCTTTGCTACTGAACTTCCCAGCCCCTAGAATCTTACTTTTGTTTTTGATACTAGGAATTGAACTCAGGTCCTTGCACTTGATGGGCAGGTTCTGTATGCCGCTGAGCTATATTCCCAGCCCTACTTTTCTTACCTACTTAAAGGAACTTATTTTTGTATGTTGAAACGTATTAAACAGATAAGAAATATATAATAAATACTTGAATTGTATTAGTGTTTTCCAACGTGAGATGCAACATTATTCAGAGTGGTCCCAGGGGCTGTTTGACGTGGATTCAAAGCAAGGATTAGTGAGCTTAGTTCTGCATCTGCTTACAGCCTTTGAGCCAGAGTAGTGACTGAGCTACTCTGGCTCAATAAAAATTTGCTCTAATAAAAATTTGCTGCTCAGAAAAGGGAGATGGGTATCACTGAGTTCTTTTTTTTTTTTTTCCCCATTTTGAGGCAGGGTCTCACTGTGTAGCTCAGGCTGGCCTCGAACTTGTAAGAATCCTCTTGCCTCAGCCTCTCTACAGACTTAAGGCAGTCAAGCTAATCATTATTTCATGATTCTGTGAGGTTTGTGAGGGTTGGACATAGTCTTTTTTTTTTTTTTTTTTTTTTTTTTTTGAGACAGGGTTTTGCTCTGCAGTTCAGGCTGCCCTGAGCTCACGTTGTAGCCCAGGCTGGTCTCAAACTCTCAACAATCCTCCTGCCTCAGTCCCTTGAGTGCTGGGATTACAGGTGTGTGTCACCATGCCTGGCTGGATATAGTCTTGAATGTTAAAATTTTTTATATTGGTGTTTTAAATCCACAAAGTGATTATAAAGAGAAACTCATTCTTGCTGAAATGAAACTCAGGCATCCAGTTAATCACATGATTCCCTCAACAACTTATCCTGATGTTTGGGTGATACACAAGTAGTCCTACCGAAGGCTAAAGAAGAAACAAAGCAGATCTTCATAGCCTATATAACTTACAAATTGTGGTATATATAGATGTTGAATAAAGAAAATAATTTTATGCAGATTAGTGAAAGGTTTGAGCCAAACCTTTCTGTTTCTTTTTTTCTTTCTTTAGAATTAGGGGATAATCAGAGCAACTGCTGGTTATGTATTTTTATTTCCCTGCATGGAATTAATTTTTTCTTTTTTTGAGATAAAGTATCTGTAGTTCAGGCTGGCCCTGAATTTACTATGTAGCCTAGGCTGGCCTCATGCTCACTGTGATCCTCCTGCCTCAGCCTCCTGAGTGCTGGGATTAGAGGTATGTAGTGCACTATACCTGGAGAAAGGCTTACACTTTTTTTTTTTTTTTTTTTTTTTCCGGAACCGGGGATTGAACTCAGGCCCTTGCACTTGCCAGGAAAGCGCTTATTCTTCTGAACCATCTCCTTGGCCCCAGGCTTACACTTTTTATTTTGGCATATGCTGTGTTCAAGAATAGATTTCGGAAAAAAATAAAAAAAAACTAAAAAAAAAAAAAAAGAATAGATTTCTGGCTATTTGTGTTTGGCTGGTAGAAATTTTTCTGGAAGCCTTGGCTTACCTTTAAATAATTTCTATCTAAAATGAAATTTTGGGGCTGGGGAGATGGCTCAGTAGAATAAGCACTTACCTGGCAAGCACAGGGTCCTGAGTTCCATCCCCAGTACTGCAAAATAATAAATAAATAAATAAATAAATGAAAATTTGGGCCGGGACTGCTAAATAAATAAATGAAATTTTGGGCCGGGGAGATAACTTGGTGGTCTAAGTGCAAAGACCTTGGTTCGATCCCCAGTACTGCATGCTGTGCCAGCCACCAACACCAGGCAGGGTGGCACATGCCTGTAATCCTAGCACACGGAAGGCTGAGACAGGAAGTTCACTATGAGTCTGAGCTACATTGCGAGACGTTGTACCAAATAAATAAGTAAAAGATTAAAAAAATTTCATCTGTTTCCTTAGTCCTTTCTAGGGAATTTTAGCGTTACTATTGGTGTATGGAATGACGTTATTGTCTCACTTAAACCATCTTCATTTTTTCTGTTAAGTTTTATTGATATTTTACCTGACTGGAATATTTGGTGGTAATATCTTATATTCCCAATCATTGGCAGCTAAGGACTCACCCATGCCCCTCTACCCCACTATTTAACTATACATGTAGGTGCACACTTGGGGCACTAACACATACACATGTATATGTAATTGTTACAAATACCTCTTTTAAGGTTTCTCAAGCACTGAAAATGTAGACTAGGAAGTGCTCTTTAACTTGCTTTTGGTTCTTCATCTTATGTTTATGTGGTCTTTTATTTTTTTTCATGTGGTCTTTAATATATTTTGTTTTAGTTCGAAAGTTTTAATGGTCTGCTATGCCTAGAATATTCATGTCAACAGGTTATTCTGAATGGCCCTGTAAAATAAAAAATGGACATTTGTTTTCTCAATTTTTTCCTGCTTAAAAGAAAATGATTGCCAAAATGACAAAAGTGGAATTTTTCATAACATTTGTGACACAGTCATGATACAGTACTGCTTTTACTTTCTGTACCATTTATAATTTCTTGTTTAAACCCTTTTTCAAATTTTGGTTCTTTGGAGACAGGCTCTTGCTGTGTTCTCGGTTGGCTTTGAACTTACTGTAGAGTCCAGGCTGGCCTCAAACTGCTGCTGATCCTTCTGCTTCAGCTTCCTAGCAGGATGGGTTACAGGTTTATTTATGCCTGCCTTGTTAAGACATTTTTGACTTGACTTTTTTACAGTTCTACAATACTATAATGAAGTTAATTATGCATAGTCCTAAGAGTGGAGTTATTGGGATCAATAGTGTATAATATAGTCACAGAAACATATTTTCAGGCTGTTTTAAGCATTCTATATGAAGACTAGTACCAGTAGAATACTATTTTATAGCATCTTAAATAGTTATAATTTACTGGTTCAGATCTTTTTTTATTTTATTTTATTTTATTTTTTTAGTACAGGATCTACAGGGTCTCACTACGTGGATTGGACTCATAGTGATTCTCCTGTTCTCAGCCTCCCAAGTGCTGGGATTACAGGCCTGCACCACAGTGCCACCACCATGCCCACTCTCAGTCTCCATTTTAGCATGCCCCAGGGGCAGGGCAGGGCAGGGCCAGGCCAGCACAGCATGCCAGGAATCAACCCTGGCCGATGTGCTCTGCCTAAGCAGGTGCTTTAGTCCACGGAGCTATCTGGCCAGCCCTAGGTTTAAATCTTTAAAATAAGCTTAGGGTCAGGGATGGTGGTACAAGCCTGTAATCCCAGAATTTAGTAGGCAGAGGCAGGAGGATTGCCACAAGTTCAAGGCCTGCCTTAACTACACAACGACCTCACTCAAAATTAACTGAGTTATAGCTCAGTTTGAAGAACCCAGGTTCAGTATTCAGTCTCAGTACCAATAAGTGGTTAGGTTAAAAAAAAAATGATGGAGGGCTAACCAAATAGCTCAGTGGACTAAAGCTCGGGATTTGATCCCCAGCGTGTCATGCTGGCCCTACCCCGGGGAGCACTGAGATGGAAATTAAGAGTGGGCGTGGTGGTGTGCACCAATAATCCCAGTGCTTGGGAGGCTGAAAACAGGA